GCCGGGGGGCGCGGGGAAGGCCCTCGCCGCAGGGCTCGTCTGGCACAGGGGCACCGTCCCGCGGGGCGTCCCGTTCAAAAGCGCGACCGCACTGTGGGCGCCCCCGAGAACCAGACACGCGGTCACCGTACGCACACCGGATCCCCGCCCTCGCCTAGAGGGAGCTCCAAATCAAACGTCTCCACCACCTCGGACACATCCAGATTGTACTGTTTCCAGAACTGAAACCGATTTAAAGTCCTGAAACCTCCTAGACCACTGGCTCTGATGCATCTCACTTGCTGCAGAACAGATAATTTCGTACAATTTTTCACCTCCTGACCTAAGGTCAGCACAAAAATACGCTTTTTAGGTTTGCTTATCTTTTTCTTGTCATTGTTGTTGGTTTCTCCCCATCCTTCACTAACACTCAAACGCTGCTGAACTCAAATCGGTGAGCAGGTCTGTGCTTTTGGCAACAAAAGGAGAGAGCGTGCATTACACCTGCCCCTCGCTCTGGGGCTGTTTCTGAGCTGAAACACTCGTCCTGCCTAAACCTGAGAGCTCGCCCTCCCTCCGTCCTCGTGTCTCATTTTAAAGCTTCCTCTGCTTCATTGCAAAGCAATGCTACAATTATTCCTGCAAATACTGAAATTGTCTATTTTTTTTTCTACGGGTATATCAAATAAGTGCTAAAATATCCAATTATAAACACTTGTAGAACTTCTGAACTGTACCATCTGGGTTAATTTGGTGTCTACACTAGACCTTGTATGCTGAGTGGAACTCGCCAGATGGATCAGTCTGAGAGCAAAATTCCATTAAACAGCAAACCTGGAAGGTATAATGAATTTCCACTCATGTCAGCATTGTCAGATCTAGATTATAAATTTAAACGTACAAGTAGAATTTACAAGCATACAATTCTCCTTCTTACATTTTAACAAGAAACAAGAATTTTAAAAGAAAAATTTTAAGAAGAAATTCTGAGAAAAAATGTGTCAAAATGTCATTTTTTACCTTTTCATAGAGACAGTGTTCTTTTTAGAGTTTAAGCCTAACCCAGAAAAGGTTCTACTTCAACAACTTATCAGCTCACTACAGTTTAAAACTTTCAGACCTTTTCTGCCGATGGTAACAAAATAACTCTCTCATCTCACACTGAGGCCTCATCTATGCAGACACATCAAATTTTACGGAAGCTGTTAGCCCTGCTGAGTTCGAGGGGACCGAGTACTACTTAAACACGTGTTAGTGGGTTTGAGATCCATATCTTTCTTTACTATGATAAATACTGAAAAAAATATTTTCTTCTTACTTTGAAGACATGCCAGACCTTCAATCATTAAACCTAGGTGGAACGTCAGCAAAGTTAACAAAATGCTGTGTTTTCTCGCTAATGAGCTATAGGGATCTGAACAGTCTCCTAAACCACCTTCATGTTTGTTAATTACTGTTTTCTGTGGTTAAGTTTAGGATCGATACAGAATCTTTGTGAATGTTTTTAAACACAGTTTTCTGTCTTTAAAGCTAGGTAACATACCTGGCTGCTGCCTCTTTCTTCCCATCTTCTAGTGTTCTCCAATGAATATGATCTCCAAAGCCTGCCAGAGAGAAAAGGTTTATAAATGCTGCATAATTTAACATGCCAACTAACTGATGAAAACAGTCCGACCCTTAAGAATATTTTCAACTTATTTTATATTCTTTTTTTAAAGCAACTATAATCCCAGTCCTGGAAAGACTTCTGCAAATACTTACAACCTACATAGTCTTATGAGGAATCCCATTGAAATTAATTAACAAAAACATACCACACTCATAAATATTTTATCTATATGCAAATGACACCAAAATCCCCCAAACAGAGATTAAAATTGAAGGGCCTTCTCATTATTCCCCATGCTTTTTCAATCTGTGAACGTTTATTAACTGATTGGTGACAAATTAAACACATCAGCGTTTGGCTTCCTAAATCCCACTGGATGTGAACTAATGCAAAACTTAAAAGATTCCTAGAGCAGCATATGATCATTAATTGCCCTAAAACTATTATGCTGAGTATTACTGCTGATGATAATTAGCATCGAAGAGTAAGAAAGAACGCCATTACACAGGTTTCTGAATGTTACAGTGGCTGAACAATGCAGGAAATATTTTATCCCATACCCAGGTAACAAGTCTTGTTATGTCAGTTGAGGTAAGAGCGAGCGAGCGTACGTTTAACAACTGCAAAGCACAGGCTGCCTTTTTTCTTTGGACCCTGTAGCCAATGCAGCACTACCCTGACATGGCTGAGAGCCACGCGGAGAGCTGACATGAAGGAGATTCAGGACCTGTTCATAGGGGATCTCCCTTGGAAGACCTCCTAAGAAGTCTCATTGCTCCAGCAACACAGGGCTCTGCTGGATGACCAAACATCGGCCTCGGCTTGCACCTTCCCAATGCTGAGGGTTTGGATTAGTCAACAACCCGCAGTGCCCAGGGTGCTGAGGGGGGCAGATTTCGGGAGCTACACAGGGGTCAGGAGCCACAGGCTGCCCAGTGCTGACACAGGGGAGAGTGGACATTGTGTCCAGTAGACAACTATGGCAAAGAAGCTGGAGAAAGCCAAGAACAGGGTCAGCAAAACCTCGTGGCACCCTAGTTCACCATCTGTGAGGTTTGAACAGTTGGCACAGTATTTTTATTACCTTATCTTCTCTCCTGATATGAACACCTGTGAACACATATGACGCAACCCATCAAATATTTAGTTGTGCTAGCAGTAAGGTGGGGATGCCCTGTCCACGTCCAATCACACACACGTACCAGCTGCGGAGGCAGCTTCAGACACAAGGCCACGTTTGTACCAGCTGAATGCGGCAGAGCAAAAATCACTTGGGTTAGCAGAAGTCATGTCTGTTCAGGATATTGACACGTCAGCCTTTTCATTCAAAGGTCAACATGTTAAAACAGAGAAAACCTTTTATTGTTCTAGCTAGGAAACGGTTTTTGAAAGCTTTTTTTTTAAAACTAAAACGCACTTTTGTGGTGAGCTTCAGTATGTTTTTAAAAGCATTACACAACATATTACGGAGTGTTTCTTCTGAACGAAAGTCATCTGAGGAATTAACTGTAAAACAAAAGGGGAATGACTGGGATCCACACCGCAAAGCTTTGCTGTCATTGATCAAGCTGTGTTGCTACCAGCCTTGAAGAGGTTTACCTGTAGGACAGGCTAAAGCCACCACCTGGGGCGAAGCTCAGGGCTCCGGCGCGCCCTGACCGAACCAGCTATTAGACATGGCAATTGCACCAGGAGAGCCAGAGGAGAGGTGAGGAGCGGTCACGAAGGAAAAGGGAAGGCGAGGGCGGGGGGGAAGGGCCATTCATCGCCTGCCAGGAGCCAGCAGAAGGGGCCGGCAGAGGCTGGGGAGGGGTGACGGGGCGCCACAGCCGCGGGGGCGCCGGGGGGGCGGGGGG